TGGGAGATTCCTCACGTAAAAATAAGATTTATTTTTCATATCAACATAGGTTCAATTCAGCTTTATTTCGTAGCTACAGGGGGTTAAAATCTTCATTTTTCTTAGATTTATTATAATATTCTTCGAAGTTTTTTAAGTAATTCAAATGAAGTTTTGAGGGTAAAAATTAGTGCTAAATATTTTAATGCTAAAAAAGTGTCGACATATTTACCAGGGACGTGCATACGGGTTATCACTGGAATATAAAAAAATGTGCGCCAAAAACTTTTTCTTTTGATATCAAAATTTTTAATGCCGTTTAATCTCAACTAAAAGTTATATCATGATATTTTGTCGACTAAACGGCCTCCTTGATAAATTTCTTGATATAAACGCAATTTTATTAATCACAATTAATAAAATTAAAATAAAAATAAAGTTAATAAATTGTATATTTTACCTAATTTATTATTAAATATTATTACTATTAGTCCAACGGCAATTTCAAATAAAAAATAATGGTATTTAAGATAAAACCTAATTTTAAAAATTTAACTCCTTATAGGAACTTTTCTTCATATTTTTTTACGAGAAATCAATGATTAGGTACTTATTTAAAATTTTCGCAAGTTAATGATAATACAATTTTTTAAAGGTTGCTATTAGACTTGGATGAAGGCAAATTAATAAAATTGCGTTTATCTCATTAAGGAGGCCGAAATCATCAGGACAAAATATCACGACACAACTTTTAATAGGCATTAAACTGTTTACACTATTTCGCCAACAAGAGAAAAAAATCAGTGACGTACATGCTTTTTATAGAAAAATATTCCGGTGATAATCCATATGCACGTGCCTGGTGAATATATTTTTAGCTTTAAAACATGTGGCATTTATAATAACTTTTACCCTCAACATTTCATTCGAAACGGTAAAAGTACTTGGAGGAAAATTATAATAAATCGAAAAAATATTAAGATTTTAACACCCTGTAGCTACGAATCAAAGCAGAATCGGACCTAAGTTCACATGAAAAATAAATCATATTTTTACGTGAGGAATCCTCCCCACGAGAGATGGCACGTACTTCTTTGAAACACCTGGTACAATCATAACGAAATTAAATACTCAAATTTTGTTTTTTTATCTGAAAAATTCAATAAGTTATAGAAGTGAGTCACATTTGAAAAACACTTGGTATACCAGAGTGGCGGCTTAGCCATGAGGTCAAATGGTCAATGCCCCCCAAAAAAAATCAGGAGAAAATTAAAAAAACTTATTTGAATTATACTTTTTGTAAATCACTTTTTTTCATCCTAAAATATTCAAAACTATTCCCAATTTATCCAATTTTCGCTTGAAAACATTTTATTTTACCCATTTTCTCTACTGCCGGTCAAAGTTTCATTTTGTCCTTCGTTCCTGCTATGTTTTACACTTATTAAACTCCAAGTACCGCGGCTCGTGGCGCCAACAAGGTAAGGTATACTACGGATAGAAAATATAATGGGTTAAGGTGCGATAGATATAGTTTATATTGGCCATTGACCGCGTCATTCACAGAAGGATTTCTAAGGTAGGCAACTTTATATACACTTAAAATATTCAAAACTATTCCCAATTTATTCAATTTTCGCTTGAAAACATTTTATTTTACCCATTTTCTCTACTGCCGGTCAAAGTTTCATTTTGTCCTTCGTTCCTGCTATGTTTTACACGTATTAAACTCCAAGTGCCGCGGCTCGTGGCGCCAACAAGGTAAGGTATACTACGTTTAGAAAATATAATGGGTTAAGGTGCGATAGATATAGTTTATATTGGCCATTGACCGCGTCATACACAGAAGGATTTCTAAGGTAGGCAACTTTATATACACTTGTATTTGGTAGTTTACTGACAGACGATATAAAAAGCATTGAACTATATAACTAACGTAACTTTACTTTAGTATATAGTTCAATGATAAAAAGTGGCGGTTTTCGTCTTTGTCTAGAAACCAGGGTCGTTCCTGGCGAGCGTGCAGTGCGTGCACGTACGTAGGCGCAACATTTTGGGGGCGCAAAATCAAAGGGTCAATCAGTACTTTGTAACAAAAAACCGATACGCTTTCTTGGCAATAAACAAATACTTAAACCATCATAGGATAATTGTTTCTCTCTACAATTTCCTGTCTCACAATGTACTGTTTGTGTCGGGGAAGGGATCATAGTTTCATAGTTGTCGATTTTCGAAAGAAACCAGTACATGTATATTATTTCGTATATTTTTCATTTTATTGATTTTATGGAAAGCACTGTTCATTAAAATGTTGTATCCTATGTTATAGGGCTTGTTTCTCTCTACAATTTCCTGTCTCACAATGTACTGTTTGTGTCGGGGAAGGAATCATAGTTTCATAGTTGTCGATTTTTGAAAGAAATCAGTACATGTATATTATTTCGTATATTTTTCATTTTATTGATTTTATGGAAAGCACTGTTCATGAAAATGTTGATCCTATGTTATAGGGCTTGTTTCTCTCTACAATTTTCTGTCTCACAATGTACTGTTTGTGTCGGGGAAGGGATCATAGTTTCATAGGTGTCGATTTTCGAAAGAAATCAGTACATGTATATTATTTCGTATATTTTGTATTTTATTGATTTTATGGAAAGCACTGTTCATTAAATTGTTGTATCCTATGTTATAGGGCTTGTTTCTCTCTACAATTTTCTGTCTCATAATGTACTGTTTGTGTCGTGGAAGGGATCATAGTTTCATAGTTGTCGATTTTCGAAAGAAATCAGTACATGTATATTATTTCGTATTTTTTCATTTTATTGATTTTATGGAAAGCACTGTTCATTAAAATGTTGTATCCTATGTTATAGGGCTTGTTTCTCTCTACAATTTTCTGTCTCACAATGTACTGTTTGTGTCGTGGAAGGGATCATAGTTTCATAGTTGTCGATTTTCGAAAGAAATCAGTACATGTATATTATTTCGTATTTTTTCATTTTATTGATTTTATGGAAAGCACTGTTCATTAAAATGTTGTATCCTATGTTATAGGGCTTGTTTCTCTCTACAATTTCCTGTCTCACAATGTACTGTTTGTGTCCGGGAAGGGTTCATAGTTTCATAGTTGTCGATTTTCGAAAGAAATCAGTACCACAATCAGTACCTACATGTGTATTATTTCCGAATTTTAGTTTATTGTTTTTATGTATTTCATATAAAATGGGTCAGTTTTTTTCTTTAGTGTACTATTTTTGTTACTAAATATTTGTGGTTTTGTTTGTTTTATTTATTTAATAAATGTTTTTTTTTACATTTCCAATTACATATTGCTCGTTTGTCGCAGAATATAAATTCTTTAAATTTTTGAGATTAAGATTAAAATATATAATTGATTTAAATATAAAAGGGCGCACCAAAGAATGCTGCACGTAGGCGCCAGATACCCCAGGCACGGGCTGCTAGAAACCAGCGTGTTGTTATTGTAATTTGTAATATTGTTTATTAGTTGAGAATCAATAAAGTTGATTAAGAAATATCGAGTGCATTATTTCTATTTATTTATTTAGCGTATGGCATATTAAGACACAAAGTACGTATATGACAAAAAGAAAGAAAAAAAAAAATACAAACGAACATTTAACAAATATTATTTAAATAAATATTTTTTTTTATTATTACTGTATGTCACTGTAAATGTCTGAAATGCGTACGGCACATTTACGGTAGGATTTATATTATAGGATTTCAGTCATATCTCTGGAAAAATTTCGCCGTTTGGGCAGTTTGGGTGTTTATAAAAACTCAAATTATAAAACAACCTAGGTTTTTGTATCGTTTATCGCGTATCGCGTATACCTAATGTTTGGTTTAGTCAGTACAAATCAATATTTTAATTTTAATATCGAAAAAAAAATAAGTTTTAGTTGCCGTATCTTTGTCGTAGCCGAGGGTCTGTGATGCAGCGCAAAATTTGTGTAGGTAATAATTCATAAATTTCTGGTTCTGGATAAATGATGAACTCTTGTTGACTGATTCTGGAATAGATATTTTCAAATAGACAACATATGGTGTTTAGTTTGTAAAATCGTGCGGTTAAAAGAAAACCATTGCTTAAATTTCGAAAAACGTTTAGAGAAAGAATTGACTTAAAATATAAAAAAAATGTGAAATAAAACTTTTATAGTAAACGCCACGAATGTTTGGGAGTGATTCATCGGTCGCTACCATGTGAACTAATCTGTTCAAGGTCACATAAAAGTTAATTCCAGTGCCGTGGTGTTTCAAGTCATATAATAATCAATATATAATCTGTTGTAATTTGTTGTTTTAACTGTCAAAGTCTTGTCAAAACATATATTTGGTTATAAATATAAAATGGAATGCCCCATTGGTCGCACTGCAAGCACACCAATGGACTGACTGCACAAAAACGAATCAATCAAAGAAACGCGATATAGTATCGTCTTTGTCAATCACGCTAACATTTTAGAATAAGTAGGAGGAGCGCAGGCAGATGATTAGACCGGTCCTTTAAAAACCTGTTGCGGTAAAATTTACGTTTTTAATGTAAAAATGATAGCGCGCGTGTCGATTCTAACTTCATCAAGCGATAAATCACTCCCAAAAATTCGCGGCGTTTACTTTAGAAATGTGTCTGTGTATTTATATTTTTGTGACATATTATTTATGTGTCTTTTAAATTCTACCGAGGAAAATTCGTGTAAAGAATATTGACTGGATTTTTAGTGTAATGGCACTAGACCACCTGTTTAAAAATGTAAGGGTAGGTTTCATTTTATCATAATTTGTATTTATTTTTAGATTTATGTTCCTTTAACTAAACTTACAAGTACCTTGTAAGAAACCAATTAAATTTGGTCGCGTCTTAAAAAAAATCGACGCAATATTTTTAGATATTGACCTCCCTACAATAATAATCACGAGCCGCCACTGGTATACCATATCAATTTATAATACACTGGCAACTACTACGAACAACTAAATAACTCTACACTCACCTTAAACATCCTGGACTGGCTCCTTCAAACACACTACAATTCTGTAGCAGGTTCCTATTCAGGTGCAAACATATGTCGGCTTGCAGACACTCAGGAAATCCTTTCAGTACCGAGTTCATATCGATGCCGTTCGTATAGGTCCAGGCATGTTGAAAGTACTCTTCCAGTCGTTGGCGTAGGGGGTTGGGAATCTGATGAAACCGGATGAATTCCCGTACCCGCAACATTTGCGTGTGGTACCGTGCGGTGCCTGAGTATAAACGCTGAATGATTGCCGAAACGTTGCCGAAGATACTGGCATACATCAGTGCTGAAAGAAGAGTATGCATTCAAAAATACCTGGTATTATACTAATAAGTTATTTATACTATTTTATACAGGGTCCGGCAATAGTACGTCGGGCATCTGTAGCTCCTAACATAAGAGTGCAAACCTAAAGTATTGTAATCACAAAACATATTCCCATGCATGTCATCAATAATATCGACATTGACACTAAAGTCTATAAACCTCACTAAATGAAATTTTGGCAAAAATGTTTAAATTTGTTGTATAATTTAAGATACCGGGCAGCTCTTCGTTTGACTTTATAGAGCAAATGATTGTAACAGATATTTTGTTTAGATTAAAGCTGCAAAAATTAGTTTAAACCGAATTTTATCATCGCTATGATGGTCACATTGCGCCGTTTTCAGCAAGGTTGTCGTTAATTAATTGACAATTATCCTAATGTCAGTCATTATTTTATATAATATCGTGTTTTTGTTGAATCTTTGTGAGTAATTCTCGTTTTTTTCCCTATTCTCATAGCCATTTTTTAAAAATTGTACTTTTAAGCACAAACAGTTCTTTTAGGAACTAAATTTTCGGGTTTTTGTATTGCATTTCTTGAAATTTGTGTGTTGAAAATATGCCGAAGCATCTAACAGTCGAAACAAGGAACTCGTAGCGTCCCTGATAAACTATTTTGAATAAAGACCCTTTATTACCTTTAACTGCAGTCAGAGAAGCAAGTTTGATTGATAAGCATATTACAGCACTTTCAAAGATATTTCTACATTAGTTTTTATTAAATTGTGTGATTATTAGTTTGTGCATTAATAGAACCCTCTTACTTGTTATTACCATTTATGGCGTTGTAAGATGTACATCAATAAATAAATAAATACCCCATAATAACGCTTAGAATAATCTTCATAATGGACTAGTTTTTGACAATAAGTAATAAGTAAAATAAGCTATAAAGCAAATGAATCAATTAATTACTAAAATATTAGTTATTAAATTAAAAATAAAACATAAAAATCTTTATAAAATGATATAATAAATACAGGGTGTCCCGGAAATAAGTGCAAGTATTTTAAGGGGTGATAGATCTCGATAAAAAAACATATTTTCTCTTTATCCTTTTTCAAATAAGTAAAAAATAACGGAATTATTTTACTTTGAAGATTTCCAAAAAAAATGTTTTTGTGCTAAAATTTTGAGAACCACTGGATCTTTTCTGGACTTTCTCTCTTGCAAATTTAATCTAATACCTATGTTGCCATATTATCAAGAAATTATGTTTTTTAACTAAAAACTAAAAAAAATTTAAAAAAACGTTTTAAAAAATTTCGAATTTTAAAATTTGTCAAAAAACCTCATAGACGTGTTTCGGGGGTTGAACTATACTCCCAGTTAAAATACTTGCACTTATTTCTGGGACACTCTGTATATTGTTTGTCACTTTCAAATTAAGATTCATCTCATAAATCCATCACAATCTGGCAGCGCTGTCGCCATCGCTTGTCACTCAAAGTTGATCACGTGCATCGGAAATTGTTTTGCGATTACCATATTAGAATGCATTTCAGGAACATAATTTAACCTCTACAGGGCGGCTAAAAGAGTGTGAATGGATCGGGATGATTTTCTTTAAATAGAACACCCTGTATATTATTGCATTTTTGGCTTCCTTTCTGACCACTTTGCATAATCCTAAGATATTTTTAAATATGTGTTGATAGTATCAGAGTAATTAATAAATAAATAAAAAAAATATATTTTTCAACCTTTTTAAAAAAAATATTAAGAATACAAGAACTGTGCTGATCAAAACTATATTAGGTATTTACTTTATATGGTCTGTACTTACTTTTCTATAAATATCGTAATTGTAAATTATACAAGATGTTCAAAATTCTACGCCAAACTTTCGAAAATATAAAGATATAAAATAAATTTTCTTCGTTTTTTTTTAAATAGAACATTAATTAAAAAATGAACATTTTTTGAATTTAGAGTATTTAAAAAATTTTAACGATGGTTTCGTAGATATTCGCGGTTTTATATTTCATATGGCATTTTTCACAGTAAATTATTATTATCAAAGCCACCCAATGATTTTTCTCTCGTATTTTACCGTTGAAAGAGCCATAAAATATGAAATAATACTGCTAGCAGTATTATGTAATTATGTATTGTATCTGTGAAACCATTAAAAATTTTGAAATACTTTATATACAAATATTATATTATTTTTTTAACTCTCCATCTAATAAAAAAATAATATACAAGGTGTTCCATTTAAAAAAAAAACAAAGAAAATTATTTTTTACTTTAAAGAGCTTGGCGTAGAATTTTGAACATCCAGTAGGATTTAAGATTACGATATTTGTAGCTAAGTAAGTATCCACCATCGAAAGTAAATACCTAATATAGTTTTGATTTCAGGACAGTTCTGGTATTAGTAATATTTTTTTTTAAAGGAAGGTTGAAGAATAATCTATTTTATTTATGCATGTATTATCTCTGTAATTATTGAAATATATTTACTCACATCTTAAGATTATGTAAAGTGGTCTGAAATGAAGCCAAAATGCAATGATATACAGAGTGTTCCATTTAAAAAATATCATGCCGATTCTAATAATTTATAATAATAATTTATTCTAATAGGTACATCCTTAACCAAAATTCACAAGTTTTTTTATTCTAGAAGCTACAGATGCCCGACGCACTATTGCCGGACCCTGTAGTGTTAAGGTACATTCAGGCTGAGAGCGTCGAGCGTCGCGTCGCATTTGCGTCGCGTCCGCCCCATTGAACTCGAAACCCGACGTTCAGCGGGGGCTAGCGCAACGCCAAACGCGACGCTGTCTGCCTGAACGGTCTAATTTAAGTTAAGTGTATTGATTCCATTTCGACACGCGGACGCGACGCAAACGCGACGCGACGCTCGACGCTCTCAGGCTGAATGTACCTTTAGGGTTAATGCGTATAATTGCTTTAAGTTTTGATCTGGGCGATTTAATTGAACAATTTATAAGAACGCCCGGAGGATTCGTTGCACTCTTTGAATAAGAAGACTAAGGAAGGAGCATAATGCTATCCATGTATTCATGCATGGTGGGCGGAAAAAGCTCTCTAGGGTGGGGATCCTTGACAGTTCTGTTTGACGATTCATTTGACACATTTGAATTTGATTTGAAATTTTGTGGCTTTGTCAGTCTTTACGGAGCTTATTTTATGTTATTTATTATTTATTCTACTACTGATAGTTGTATAAAGGTAGTAAATCTAGATGGAAATTGTGGCAGAACTTAAATTAACAGTGACAATATCGCGATTTATCGAAAAAGACTCTAAAATAGTTGGTTGTGTAGCGTGCGGTAGATCTCGGCAAAAATTGAGTGAAATAATGGAACAACTTTTCGCTGGTAAGTGACTATATAATATGTATACATACGTGTAGTAAACCGATCATTTATGAAATTCACTTAAATTAACTAAATTATATATTTTCTTGCATTTTAGCTTTTATTTACTACTTGTCAAAGATCAGATGTCAAAGAATTTTGATACGTTAATTTGACTTACCTGCTTCAGTAGCGTATCGGATGTTTGTGTTAATAAATACTTATTATAACTTATCTATTTTTATTAGAATTATATATTTTTATAACAATTTTAATTAATTAATTAACTACCAACGTTTATTTACAACGTAAAATAAAATAACAAATTATTGAGTCTACCCCACGTCTACCCTACATCATAGTTTTACATTTTTTAAATAAAATTAGAACGGCACTGATAAACCGGAATTTAAGTCGGCCATATTTGAGGCCCATCGCGGTGCACCTAAGATTTTTGATATGCTCCTTCCTTAGTCTTCTTATTCAAAGGTTGCACTTATACTTCAGGTGCCCCGCTCATTAATATTTAAATAAATATTATGTTATAATAATTAGAGCCAAGGACACGCTGCCATTGGAGAAAAAAACCATCACAGATTTTATTACAGTTATTGAATTATTAATTCCAAATTTTCCGTCCTGCTCATTTACACGTTCGGGAAGTTGGTATGTGCCGAGAAGCCTCAGTAATTTCCTTTGAGCTGATAACGCTGACCACCTCTACACTCTGACGTACCTGTTTAGCATTTAACCAACCGGTTATATAGACGTATAATATCTATTCAAAGCGTTCTCGAAGTATTTAATTTTAATAATCAATATTGTATCTTTTTATTGTTATTAATTTCTTTGATGGCTGTATCTTTATAGCGGTAATTCACTTCTAAAATAAGTTTAAACATCACGAATTTCTATGATATTTAAAACTCACCCTGTATATCCCAAACACCGTTTGATAAAAAAATGATTTAAAAAATGTAGATAGTTACATATAAAATGTGACTGAATGGGAACTGTATTACTGTATACATAATTTTCTATTATGTATACAGTTTATATGTAAAATGTGACGGTGATTACCACGCCAACTCTGACGCGATTTTTAAATAAAAATTTAAATTTTACAAAAAATATCTTTTACATATTTTAAGATTTCTCCTTCAGTGACGAAATACTCACAACAACTGTGCAACTACTTTAATTATTATAATAGTTGATATTATAGATTTATTAAAAAATACTCATAGATTCAAATATCCTTTATTTATATCAATGTAAAGGGCGTAAAAAATAAATTCTAGAAAACTAGTGCTGTTTAACCGTAACCATCCCAACAAAAATATTTTTCTGTTTATATTTTTTGCGCAAAATTTGAGCTTTTTGAATCTTTTTTTAATTAAAAGATTCTTATTAGAGGCTTTGTATAAGCCTTGCACGTTTGGCCAATAATGTATCCCGGGAAAATCCATATTTTAACAAAACTCTACGTAGTGCGGTTTAAATGTTTTCAAAATATACAGGGTGAGCAGAACTCTCACCTCTATTATGAGAAAACGAAAAATAATAAAAAAAATCTGAAAGGAGGTTTTTAAATGGGACTAAATAAAGTGTATTTTAAGCCAAATTTGCA